GTGTGTGTGTGTGTGTGAGAGAGAGAGAGAGAGAGAGAGAGAGAGAGAGAGAGAGAGAGAGAGAGAGAGAGAGAGAGCGCACACACAGTGGTTCTCCACTTTTGGGTCACAACCACTTTCCAGGTAGAATGACCCTTTCACAAGGGTTGCTTAAGACCATCAGTAAACACAGATATTAGCATTACAGTTCATAACAGTAGCAAAATTATAGTTATGAAGTAGCAATGAAATAATTTTATGGTGGTGGAGCTTCGCAACACAAGGGTCATAACATTAGGAAGGCTGAGAACCACTATCTTAGACCAGTGCTCTCCCACTGAGCTATATCCCTAGGCTTTGATTTTTTTTTTTTTTTATTGCTTTACTTTGCTTGCTTTTAGATAGGGATTCAGTGTATGACCTAGGCTGGCCTGCTGCATCTGCCTGCCAAGTGCTGGGATAACAGGCGTATACCACAACAGCCAACATCATTGTCCTTTTAAAAATCTTTACTTTTTGTACAGCTATTGGTGTTTTCCCACCTGTAATTAATTTTTCTTCTTCTTTGCTTGCTTTCATTTGGGGATATATATATATATATATATATATATATATATATATATATATATATATATGGCTGCTTAATTGAGATATGTTCTAAAATATCCTTTGTTTAATTCAATCATAGTTTTTCTTTTCCTTTGCTCTACTTAACAAGTCAGGAAGTAGATCAAGGGTAGGTAGGCATTGAAGAAGTTAAGGCCAGAGAGGATCTCCAGCATAGTTACCTACTTCTAGAATTTGGGGTTAAACGATAGCTCATGGGAATGAGTTTAATGTCCAGTATCAAGTAGATGAGGAGTTTGGGTGCCAGGGGATGGAGGCCAACTTTGAGCACTGTCATTCCATGCTCTTGCTTTGGAGGCCACTCCACCTCCCCAAGCTGTTGTAGTGCCAAATAAGAATCAATTGTGCCTCTATAGAAAACACAGCATGTGACCCCTGTGTGTTCAAGTGTCCTGACAGACTCCAGTTGTTTCCAGTGCTGTAGCCCGTTTTGATGATTATAATTTGCTCTGAACCAGTTTTAAATGCTAAAGAGCATATAGGATTCTGTTTTGGACTGAAACAATCTACTGTCCATTATTTTGGCTTTGTTATTCAACCCCAGTGAATTGAAGACAGCAGAAAAATTTACTTAATGTCATCTTGTAACTGAATGTCTGTTGCAGTTTAGTCATTGGGCTGAATAAAACTAGCCACATTTAAATTTAAATTGGACATGGTGTTTTTCTCTTTGAGCTCAGTGGGATTTTTTAATTATGCCATGAATAACACATGATTCTAGGCTTCACAAAGAACTGATACCAGAAGCTACTCCAGGAGAGTAGGCACACGATATACTGGACAGTAAATAAAATAAAATGAAAATGAAATAGCATGCTTCTGAAAATGTGAAAGGGAAACACTTCCTCTTCATTTGTTTTAATGAAAGGTTGGCTTTATGTTGCCTGAGTGTTTTCAGAACAGTCCAGTTAGGGGAAAGTTGGACCAAAGCTGAAGGCTGAACGTAGTGATCAAATAGTGACCAATCAGCATTTGCATTGCAGGAAACTCATCGAAGAGATGGAGGAAAAGCAGAAATCGGACAAGGCGGAACTAGAGCGAATGCAGCAGGAGGTGGAGACCAGGCGCAAGGAAACCGAGATCGTACAGCGGCAGATCCGCAAGCAGGAGGAAAGCCTCAAACGCCGCAGCTTCCACATTGAAAACAAGCTTAAGGACCTGCTGGCTGAGAAGGAAAGGTTTGAGGAAGAGAGGCTCCGGGAGCAGCAAGGCCTTGAACAGCAGAGGAGACAGGAAGAAGAGAGCTTCTCCCGCATCAGAGAGGAGCTTCGCAGGCTCCAAGAGCTCAACAGCCATGAGCAGGCCGAGAAGGTTCAGATATTCCAGGAGCTAGACCGGCTGCACAAAGAACAAGATGCCCAGAGCACCAAGCTGCAGCTGGAGAAAAGGAGGCTGGAGGAGCAAGAGAAGGAGCAGGTGCTGCTGGTGGCACAGCTGGAGGAGCAGCTGCGGGAGAGGCAGGAGACTGGTCCACTGCTGTGTCCTGGAGAGGTCCAGCGGGCCCAGGAGGAAAAGAGGGAACTAGAAGGCATCCAGGAAGCCCTCTTGCAAGCCAAAGAGGCTGGAGCACAAGGGGACCACAACTGTGGGGATGAACTGGAAAGGGCTCAGCAGTACTTCTTAGAGTTCAAGAAAAGGCAGCTTGTCAAGCTAGCAAATCTGGAGAAGGACCTGCTCCAACAGAAAGACCTCCTAAGCAAAGAAGTCCAAGAAGAGCAGGAAGCCCTGGAGCATGTAAGATGTGAAGTCCAGGAGGAACGTAGCTTGTCGGCAACAGATAACAGTAGCATCCCTTTCCGGCCTGAAGGTCTAGAGAAAATAAAGACTGCACAGTCCAGGCTACAGAGTAAAGAGCGCCAGCTGAGGGACCTTCTGCAAAATCATTTGCCAGCTCTGCTGGAAGAAAAGCAGAGAGCTCTTGACATCCTTGACAGAGGCGCCCTGGGCCTAGACAATACACTCTACCAAGTAGAGAAAGAAATGGAAGAAAAAGAAGAGCAGATCACACGGTACCAGGAGAATGCTAGCCAGCTGCAGCAGCTCCGGGCCACCTTCGAATTCACAGCTAATGTCGCCCGACAGGAAGAGAAGGTGAGAGAAAAGGAAAAGGAGATTCTGGAGTCCCGGGAGAAGCAGCAGAGAGAAGCATTGGAGCAGGCCGTGGCCAAGCTAGAGCAGAGGCACTCTGCCCTGCAGAGGCGCTCTACCCTGGACCTGGAGATCCAGGAGCAGAGGCAGAAACTTGGCTCTCTCCACAGCATGGAGCAGCCAGGACTGTGGGCCAGTCTGGAGGCCAAACAAGAGGTCCTTGAGAAGGACCCTGCAAGGTAAGACTAAGGCAGAGGGAGCGAAACATAGGGCAGGCATGCATGATTGCTTATATTCTGCCTCTTGTGGCTGCTCACTGTCTGGAGAAGTGCTTCTTGTAGACTTTATGCTCTCTAATACATAGGCAAAAGGCTTTAAAAACAAACAAACAACAAAAAAAAAACTCAACCTAAGAAAAGCACCCCTAAGAATTTTTGTTTGTTTTTACATAAGATCCTTGTTTTAGAATCATTGACTTAAAGTTGAGAAAAGCACATAGACAAAAACAAAGTTCTGGTCCTTCACTGAACTGACCTATGGAATGTGTGTCCTAATAGTTTGACAAGTGCAGTTCCTGGCAGAGTTTCAATCTAGATTCCCACCTTGATCTCCCTCTTATTCCTGCCCCCCCCCACCCTTTTTCCCTTTTCATCCCTTTCATTGCTTTCTCACCACCCCACTTCTTCCCCTCTCCCACATGTGTCCTTCTTCACCAGGATTTCATATCTTCTATGTGAGAGGCTCTGGCCACAGTGAAGTCCTGTCTCCCC